ATGACCCCCCAGCCATGGCGGAGAACATCAAGACCAAGCTGGAGCGCTACAAGACGGCGCCTTTCGACAGCCGCTTCCCCAACCAGAACCAGACCAGGAACTGCTGGCAGAACTACCTGGGTACGCGCCCCCCACCCCGGGGGTCCCCCCCATCCCCTGGGGGTCCCCTCTGTCCCCTGGGGGTCCCCCGGATGCCAGGGGGGGTCCCCTGACGTCCCTTCCTGCCCCTCCCCAGATTTCCACCGCTGTGAGAAGGCGATGGCGGCCAAGGGGACGGACGCCAGCCCCTGCCAGTGGTACTACCGCGTCTACAAGTCCCTCTGCCCCACCGCCTGGGTGAGTGGCACCTCCCCGGCCCCACGGTGGCCCCAGGGACCCCGTGGTGGCCCCACCGGGTCCCCATGGTCCTCGGGTTCCCCAGGGTGTCCCCATGGTTCTCAGTCCCCCACAATGTCCCCTCTGGGTCCCCACAGTGTCCCTAGGGGGTCCCCACAGCCCTCAGACTCCCACGTATGTCCCCATGGCCCTCAGGATCCCTGTGGTGTCCCCACCGGGTCCCCGTGGCCCTTGGGTTCCCCAGATGTCGATCCCTGTGGTGTCCCCACCGGGTCCCCGTGGTCCTTGGGTTCCCCACAGTGCCCCCAGGGGATCCTCACAGCCCTCAGCCTCCCACGTATGTCCCCATGGCCCTTAGGGTCCCTGTGGTGTCCCCAGGGTGTCCCCACACCCCTCAGACTCCCACATAGTGTCCTCAGGGTCCTTGTGGGGTCCCTGGGGTGTCCCCATGGCCCTCAGGTCCCCCAGGGTGTCCCCACAGTCCTCAGGGTCCCCCATGGTGTCCCCACAACCCTTGGTGTCCCCACAGTGTCCCTGGGGTGTCCCCATAGCTCTCAGAGTCCCCTACAGTATCTCCAGAGTGTCCCCATGGTCCGGAGGTCCACCATGGCGTCCCCATGGTGTCCCCATGGTGTCCTCATGGCTCTCGGAGTCCCCCTCGGTGTTCCTGTGGCTGTCAGGATCCCCCATGGCATCTCCATGACCCTCGGTGTCCCCTTGGTGTCCCCACAGCCCTCAGGGTCCCCAGGGTGTCCCCATGGTCCTGTGGTCCCTCTCAGGTCCCCCATGATGTCCCCACAGTCCTCAGAACCCCTGTGGTGTCCCCATGGCATCACCGCAGTCCCTGCGCCATCCATCCATGGTGTCACAACGTCCTTCATGGTGTTACCACGTACCCTATGATGTCACCGTGGTCCCTGCGTCTTCCATGGTGTCACCATTTCCCCATGACATTGCTGTGGTTCCTGTGTCCCCCATGGTGTCACCATGATGTCCCTATGTCCCCTATGACGTCACTACATCCCGCATGGTGTTACCATATCCCCCATGATGTCACCATGATGCCTTGCATGCCCTGTGTCATCACTGCGTCCCCCATGATGTCACCGTGGTCCCCACCTCCCTCGTGTAGCTCACGCTGTCACCGTGTCACCCCACAGGTGACAACGTGGGACGAGTACCGCGAGGAGGGGACCTTCCCTGGCAAGATCTGAGCTTCATCCCGGGGAGGGGACATTTGTGTCACCAGGGGGGTGGGTGACACGGCCGTCCCCCACTCCGGTGGGTGGGGCACACGGCTGTCACCGTCTGGGGGGAGGGGACACCGCTGTCACCTGGGTGGTGGCATGGCCAATAAAGGGTTGAACTGGTCCTGGGTATGGCTTCTGCTGGGGGGGTGGTGGTGGTCCCCAAGGTGGGGTCCTGGGTCCCCTGATGGGGTGGTGGTCCCCAAGGCGGGGTCCTGGGTCCCCTGGTGGTCCCCAATGTAGGCTGGTGGTCCCCAAGGCGGAGTCCTAGGTCCCCTGATGGGGTGGTGGTCCCCAAGGCGGGGTCCTGGGTCCCCTGGTGGTCCCCAATGTAGGCTGGTGGTCCCCAAGGTGGGGTCCTGGGTCCCCTGGAGGGGGGAGGAGACAGAGCAGAGACCCCCCTCAAACTGGAGCGAAAAACGTTTTTATTAACGACAAGTTGTGGTGGGACAGTGGGGGGACAACCCCCCGCTCGTACACCTGGGTGCCCCCAGGGTGTTCCTTGGGGACAGAGGCGCTATGGGACCAAGGGGACCCCCTGGAGGGGCTGGAAACCGAGGGGCAGCCCCAGGATCTGGCCCACAGCACCCCCAGGGGCCACCAAGGTCTGGCCGAGGCCTCGCAGCGGCAGCGCTCCCAGCAGCTCCCCTGGGGGAGGACATGGGGTCAGGGTGTCCTCCCCATCCCACCATCCATCTCCCTGACCCTTCCATCCATTCTCCCATTTCTCCATCCACATCTCCGTCTCTCTCTCCTCTTGCATCCATCCATCCCTCTTCCATGGTTTCTCTACCCATCCCTTCATCAATCCATCCCTCCTCAATGGTTTCTCCATCCATCCACCTTCAATGGTTTCTCCATCCATCTTCAGTGGTTTCTTCATCCATTCTTCCTCAGTTCAATCTATCCTACTTTCATGGTTTCTCCACCCACCCATCTATCTGTCTACCCTTCCTCAATGCCTTTCTGCTTCTCCATCTATTCTGCAATGGTTTATCCATCCATCCATCCATCCATCTTCGGTGGTTTCCCCCTCCCTATCTCCATGAACGGATGGATGGAGAACCCATTGAAGAGGCTCTTGGATTTCTCCATCGTGCTTCTTCAATGGATGGAGAAATAATTGAAGAACGTCTTTGATGGTTTCTCCGTCCATCCATTTTCAGTGCTGTCTCCATCCATATCTCCACGAACAGATGGATGAAGAAACCATCGAAGAAGCTCTTTGATTTGTTCATCTCATCCTTCAGCCTTCTTCCATGGTTCCATTCACCTGACCATCCATCTGTCCTCCTTCAGTGGTTTCTTCATCTCATCCATCCACCCATCTCCTCCCCCTTCCGTTCCTCCGCTGTTCATGGTTTCTCCATCCCCATGTCCCCATCCTCCTTGCATTACTTCACCTGGAGGTCCTCCCATCCACTGTCCCTATCGTGTCCCTTCACCTGGAGGTCCCTTTCCATCCCCTCCAACCCTGTCCCCATGGTGTATTTTCAGTGCTGTCTCCATCCATATCTCCACGAACAGATGGATGAAGAAACCATCGAAGAAGCTCTTTGATTTGTTCATCTCATCCTTCAGCCTTCTTCCATGGTTCCATTCACCTGACCATCCATCTGTCCTCCTTCAGTGGTTTCTTCATCTCCTCATCCATCCACCCATCGCCTCACCCTCCCGTTCCTCCGCTATTCATGGTATCTGTCCTCCTTCAGTGGTTTCTTCATCTCATCCATCCACCCATCTCCTCACCCTTCCGTTCCTCCGCTGTTCATGGTTTCTCCATCCCCATGTCCCCATCCTCCTTGCATTACTTCACCTGGAGGTCCTCCCATCCACTGTCCCTATCGTGTCCCTTCACCTGGAGGTCCCTTTCCATCCCCTCCAACCCTGTCCCCATGGTGTCCCCTCACCTGTAGGCAGGTCCCGTGGCAGCAGCGTTCGGTGGTGGACACAGGTGTCACCAGGGCGGCAGCGAGAGGCCTTGGGGCACCACGGAGCTGTAGATCATAGAGGGGTTGGGTGGGGACATGGAGACAAGTGACACATCGGGGAGGGACACACCACAGGGGACATCATGGAGGGGACAGGTAGGGAGATGGCAGGTGGACAGAGAGGTGGAGGACATCACGGATGCATTGGGGACCTCATGGACATGTAGGGATGTCATGGATGGACGGCCATGTAGGGGACACGATGGCCGCATAGGGGTGTCGCTGGTGGACAGAGAGGTGGAGAACATCATGGAAGAACGTGCAGGGATGTCATGGATGAAGAGAAACGGGACAGCCCAGACTGACACGTTGGGAGGTCATAGATGGACAGAGAGGTGGAGGACATTGTGGGTACATAGGGATGTCATGGATGGACATCTGGAAGACATCATGGACATGTGGAGATGTCATAGATGGACAGAGACATGGAGGACATCATGGAGGCACAGAAGACATCATGGACATGTAGAGGTGTCACAGGGGGATGGTCACACATGGGACACCATGGATGGACACATAAGGATGTTGTGGATGGACAGAGAGATGGAGGACATCATGGATGGCCACGTGTTTGGGGGTGTCGCAGATGGACACAACAATGACACCATGGAGAGACATGGAGGGATGTTATGGATGGACAGAGAGCAGGAGAACATCATGGGTGGATGCACAGAGGTCATCATGGCCATGTAGGAATGTCTTGGATGGACACATACGCACAGGTGACATCATGGGTGGCCATATAGCAACCCCACAAGTAGAACCCCCCCCCCAGACCACCCACAGCCCTATGTCCACCTCCCACCCCATGTCTCCATGGTCCCCAACTCACGGCAGGTGTTGGGGGTGCTCCAGGGTCCCACCCGAGCCCCGGCCTGGCGGCAGGCGGCCTCGTAGGCACCCAGGACCTCGCTGAGGACCTCTTTGTCCCCAGGGGCCTCGCAGAGCTCCCAGAGGCAGATGTCGAAGAAGATCCCAGGGTGGACCACGGCGTGACAGTCCCCAAAGGGACCTCGGGGGGCCCGGAGGACACCACAGAGCTCGGTGTGGACGAAGGCCCTCTTGGGGGCCTGGCGGCAGGGGGGACAGGTGGGACCAGGGCAGGGACGATGACACGTGGCCGTGGTGGTGGCCTTGTGGAGGTGGTCGTTGTAGGGGTGACCATCAAAGTTGCCGCAGAGGCCGCAGGTGACGTTGC